TTTTATTAAATCTTATAATAGCTGTTTCTAGGAGGTGTTATCATCTTTGTCTTACGGTCGGCAACTGAGGCTTGGATGATGGAACCTGATCCAAGGCAACCATGTGATCTCAGGGTCAGTTCACTGCTGGGGCCCGTGTGGAGTCAGTGATATTTGGAAAATGCCCTATCCCACTGTAAAATAAAGTATCAAAAGCAACAGGGGGAATTCTCTTTGACATGCTTTTGTAACGAGCATCCCAGTGATATTAGGTTCCTATTAGGACATTAGGTTTCTATTATGAGCTGAACTATGTCTCCTCAAAATTCGTATGTTGGAATCCTAGCCCCAGTGCCTCAGAATGTGACCCTATTTTAAAGAAAGGGATCTTTAAAGATATAAGTAAGTTAAAATGAGCTCATTAGGGTGGACTCTAATCCCATATGACTGGGGTCCTTATCAGAGAAATTTGGACAGATGTACACAGAAGACAATGTGAAGATGCAAAGACACGGGGAGAAGACAGCCATCTAAAAGCCAACAAGAAAGGACTCAGAAGAAACCAACCCTGCTGACACCTTGCTCTTGGGCTTCAAGCCTCCAGAATTGCAAGAAAATAAATTTCTGTTTAAGCCCTCCCGTCTGTGGAACTTTGCTGCAGCAGCGCTAGCAAGCTAATACAGATTCTAAGTCACGACTGCTTACACCCCATTAGCTTGATGACAGCCATGGCTCACCCACGCCGTTTTCAGACTGTCAATGACAACTGTTCAAGTAAACTTATGTTCCCATCTCACTATGCAAGAACAAAAATTTGTCATTAATATGTAGAGAATAAGTAGGAGGGAAACAGGAGTGAGAAAGAGTTTAAGTACAGACATTTCATTCCCCTCATCTTCTACCCCCAGAAGATGAGGTGCTCCCATGGGAAAATGCACATGGAGTGACTATCTCGGGTCCGACACATACCAGGAGCACACTGCCCATCGGCCAAGCTGGTGGCATGGCCAGAGCAAGAGCTTCACTGGGGCACAGGGAGGGGAGGAGATGAGGTGTGCCCAGGACAGAGGATGAAGAAAGGCAAGGGGAGAAGAGTAAGATGGATGCTCACAGGGCGAGGAGCCGGGGGTGGAGTGACACACAGGGTGGGGCTGCAGTTCTCCCGTGGGTGAGGGAAAGAAGAACAGCAAGGGGCTCAGAAAAGATTTTCCTTTGCTTCTTCCCCACTCCCTTTCTTAACAGCCAAGCCTCACAAGTGATGTGACAAGAGAAAAAAAAAAAGGTACAGAGGTTAGGAGAGTGAAAAACAGACTTTCCCTGCCTCTCTTTACTTTTTAAAAATATGTGATTTTTCTAGTTCACTCTATTCCCCACCTCTCCCTCCTCCAAAATACCCTATATAACAGGTTTCTACACTGCCTACCAACTTCCCATTTTTGGTTCAAAGAAAGGCACGTGGTGCAAGGAGGGAAAGTGCATGTGAACAGGGGCTGACCACAGGGAATGCCCATACCTTCACCACCTCCTAATGACCACACTTTCACTGCATGAAACTCATCAACCAGTAACATGCTCAGACATTCCTTGTAAGAAATGACTTTTGAGTTGTCTATCAAGTGCAAACCCTTCTGCCCTGACTGCCCATCCTTCTTAGAGGTGTGTACATGTTTGAACTTTGTGACCAGGGAAGGCCTCTGAATCAGGCTGAGCCAAAAATGAGTCCACTAGGCATCTGAACTAGATAGTCGGTCCCAGAGGTTGTAGGGAACATCAGATGTTGATTGGCTTCAGGGCTGAGGTTGGTTTGAATACCAGATGAGGGTAGAAATGTTGTCTCCCCCCACCCACAGAAACAGAGAAAGCCAAAAGAAGAACGAATACATGGGGAGAAGTGGTCAGAGACTACCTGCTGCAAAATGTAATCTCAGATCTTGCACAAAGCCACTTCTTGGTTTTGTTCCCTTGAATTCCTAATAAAAATTAGTTTGTCTGCATAAGCTGATAGGTTTGTACTTGCAACCAAAAGAGCCTTGATAAAATATTGATAATTTACTAAGCACCTTCAGGTACATTATCTCACTTGAGACTCACAAGACCCTAAGGAAAAAAAGTGGGCAGTTATTTTTACTCATTTTACAGTTTACAAAGTAAACTCAGGGCTAAGGGGCATTATGGCCTGCAATGACCCAGCCTTCTGGGATACAAACCCTTGTGAAGTCCCTTCCTACACTGGCTCTGGGCTCGGCAACATGACATTGGCCAATGGGATATTAGCAAGCTTAGTGACACAAGCAGGGGCTTAATAAGCCCTTGTACATTGGAACCTGTCTTCTTGGCACCCTGAAAGGATGTTCAGTACCCAGGAGAGAGAAGGGACCCAAGAAGAGGCCTTGTGAGATTAGATACATGGACATAGATGCCACATGAAGGAAAACTGAGACACCCAGGCAAATCCCCAGCTGAATGCTGCCACACAAATGACCCCAGCCAACAGAAGAACAGGGCAGAAGGGCCACATGGTCAATCCATGGAATTGTGAGATACTAAACATTTTTGTCGTCTAAAGGCATTAATTTTTTGGGTGACTTGTTACACAGCAATAGATGAAACACGTTATATAACTTCTCTAACGCAAAGCTAATAAATAAAACTTAAGGTTTCTTGACTGATGTCAGTGATTTATTCACTGTTCCCAGATATAACTGAAATTGAAGAAAAATAACTCAGAAGTTTCATATGCTTCACTTAAACAAAAGAAAATGAATTTCAGCTCAGAACACTCAACTGTGAAATTATCCTGTCAGCATATAAATGAATTAAAAATATACGTATGTAAATGTGGACAGGTAGGAGAGTGTGACTAAAATACTTAGCATGTTACACAATGTCTGAATGCTTCTCAAATACTTTTCTCCTTTGTACTGAAAGAATTTAAAAACTATCAAAGACAGAATATACAACGCTCACAGCAGTATTATTTCTAAGAGCAAAAAAACAACAATTACCCAAAGAAAAAAGGACAAATTATGATATATTCATACAATAGTGGAAATAAGGGACTAAAGTTTTATACATCAACATGGATAAATCTCAAAAGTATTAAGTTGGGGCAGGGGGAGAAGTCAAAGAATACAAATAGCTTAGTATCATTTACACAAAATCTCCAAAATACAAACTTTAGCAACATACTGTTTAGGGATACATATGTAATAAAAGCAATAACGAAGATCAATGGACTAGTAAGTACAACAATCAAAATCTCAGGTTCTCTTGAAGGGAAGGAGACAGAAGGATACAACTGGAGAAAGGCAGTGAGGGCTCCAAAGACATTGGTCATATTTCATTTCTTAATCTGGGTGGGGGGTAACTGTTTTCGTTTTCAGCAAGCTATACTGCATATCTGTGATAAATGGCTTTTTGTGTCTATAAAGCATTTCATAATAAAAACAAAATTTAAAAAATAACCAAAGAATCTAGCAAAAAGAAAATTAGACTGTTTTACAGCAAACTATACTGTGTATTTGTGATAAATAGTTTTTTGTGTCTATAAAACATTTCCTAATAAAAAATTCTAAAAAATAACAAAGAATCTAGTAAAAAGAAAATTAGACTGTCTCTGACCATTTGTGCTTTATAATATCCAGAAATCAACCTAGCTTCCAAATGCTCAATAATTTTATTTTCAAAGAATTTTTAAAAGCACACTACAGAGGTAGCTACACTCCCAATTACACAGCAGTAACAGCAAAGCTTCCTACAGCTCATAACTCATATTAAAATTGATACCAAAGGAAGACTAAATACTTCAACTTAGTGCTTAAAATATTTCATTTAATCCTTTTCATGACTTTTTGGCACCTACCTGTATAATATCTACTTTCTCACAAACAAAATTCCCTCTGAATCCAGGGCACAGGTGCCTGTCCTTCCAAGGGAGGGCCTGGTGAATAACCTAGACCTTCCATCAATTTGCTTGACCTTGACAGGGCTCCCAGAGAGGACTGCATTGTGTATGCACAGATCCATGCTCTTCCCTGGCCAGAGGTGACTCTATCAGGAATGGACAGCTGGCCCAAGGTCAACCAGTCCCAATCTGCCACCTGTCTACTTCTCCAGCCTTATTCCTACTATCCTCTTCCTCAAAATCAGTATAGTTGGTATATCTTTCTGTCAGAGCACCTACCATAATTAACAAATAACTATACATTTATTTTAGTGATTACTCACTGTCTGTCTTCTCTCCTAAACCGTAAGCTCTGTGAGTGTGGGACTGGGTCAGCTTTTGCTCACTGTTGTGTTCCACTGACTAGCATAATTCCTGTCACATAGTAGGCATTTAAAAAGTTGTTGGGGTTTTTTTTTAAGACAAAGAAAGGATTGCAATATTATGCCTCCCTCTTCCTAAAGTTTTTCAGGTATATCTCAGAGATACTGTGGGTTCAGTGCAGACCACTGCAATAAAGTGAATATTGCAATAAAATGAGTCACTCAAATTTTTTGGTTTCCCAGTGCACATAAAATTTGTTTACACTAAACTGTAGCCTATTAAGTGTGCAATAGCATTATGTTTGAAATAAATGTATACACCTTTATTAAAAATACTTTCTTGCTAAAAAATGTTAACCATCATCTGGGCCTTCAGGGAATCATAGTAGTAACATCAAAGATCACTGATCACAGATCACCATAATAAATATACAGTTTAAAATACTGCAGTAATTATCAAAATGTAGGCACAGAGACATGAAGTAAGCAAAGGTTGTTGGAAAAATGGCACCAACAGATTTGCTTGACACAGGGTTGCCATAAAATTTTAATTTGTAAAAAAATGCACTATCTGCAAAGGGCAATAAAATGAGGTATTTTTGTTTCACTTGTATGGAAATATATCCACTCTGGGCAGATCCAAAATTAAGGCAAAGGAATCAAGGCATTAAAGAATCTACATGTATCCTCAAAGGAAAAAATGTCATAGAATGCCACATTAAATTTGACAAGTTTAAAGAGTTAATAAAACATACCTGAATGTAGCTGAATTTTCCCAATTACACCTTCTACCAACCCCAAACAAATGGGATTCCAGGCAAGAAGTAGATCAGTAGCTAAAATAAAATAAGAAGCAGTCATGAGAAAATACTCATCAAAAAACATATTAAAACAGTATCTTTATAGAGAACAAACTAGTGATTACCAGTGGGAAGAGGACAAAGTAGGGGTGAGCAAGTGGAAGGTAACAAACTATTCGGTGTAAGACAGGCTTAATGATGTATTGTACAACAGAGGAGTATCAGCCAATATTTTGTAATAACTGTAAATGGAAAGTAACCTCTAAAAATTGTATAAAACTTTTAAAAAAATTTTAAAGAAATGTCACAAGACAATTTAAAAAACCAGTATCTTTAGCAGTTTAGTAAAAAATGATCAGCATCCCCAAAAGAGCAGTTATCAGCACCCAGAACTGAATACATTACTATCAAGCAATTTGTGAAAAAGTATTAAACCTGAGAGCTGAATAAGGTTTCATTAGGACAGTTATGGGGAGATAACTGACATTCTGCAACTCTACTTGAATGGGAGGCAGCACTTTGGCGCCCTGCAGTGGAGGAAGGAGGCTGGTACACCCCAAGAGGGTAAATGAAAGGAGTTATCCAAGGTCCTATTGCCATAGCCAGTCCAAAATCCAAAATCAAGGCCTGAGAACCACCACAGAGATGTCCACTTACTGGATCACACTCTGGAAGATACCCTTTCCCAAAGAGGCTACCACCCCTTTTCCCAAAGAAGCTAATACCAAGCAAAGAAATCCAGAAAGCCAGTGCTCTTTTATGTGACTTCTAATGGCACAAGCTTCCATTTATACTGAGTGCCTGCCATGTGCCAGGCATCCCAATCAGGGTTCCTTGTCCAAACCACAGAACAGACAGTGATTTAGATGACCGTTTTCTCAGTTCTCCCAAGGATAGCACAGAATTTGTACCATTCCAGACATATAGAAGAGAAGCTAATTCATTATACACAGCAGATGCCTGAGGACACTTGGGCTTAATTCTCTTCTGGAACCCAGGCGACGAAAGGTTGTTACGTTCATGGAGAGAAAGGTAACATTAGCGGTGGTTCAACAGCAGGAAAAGATAAGCAAGAATGAAAACAGTATTTCTGATAGCAAAAAACTAAAATTACATTTTAATTATTACCATTTAAATTCTATTTTAATGAAATTTATCATCAATCTGTAACTCATGGGGGTAATTACAAAAGACTTAATAGTTTCGTCTCCAAATTCACTTGAGTTTTGACTACTATATCTTGAACATCTTTGCTGTTAATGATATATTCAATGGGAGGCAAAAAAAAAGTTGACTTCTCTTTTTTATTCCAAGAATTAAAGTAAAATAAGGAATTAATTTTGTTTAAGGCTGTTATACATATTATCATTTCTAATCCTGACAATACTATGAGTTACATATTAGGAGTCCCATTTCACAAAGGCGGAAACGGAGCTTTAGAAAAGTAAGGTGGCCACGTCATATAACAGATCAAGGGCAGAGCTGCAATTCAAAGCCAGGTCTGCCTGACTCAGCCTGTACTCTTAACCAACCAACTACAGTGCTTCCCTCAGAACCTATATATGGAACTAATCAGTAAGACAGTATTTACATTTTAAGTACATGTATTCTTATTATAAAAATAATTCTGTATAAAATAAGAAAAAATATTTTATTACTACCATCCCACCACCCAGAGATAACATATTTGCTACATTTCAGGTCATATATTTGTGTAAATACCCAAATGTATTACTGCAAATACAGCATTATATGCTAACTTTTTTCTTATATTTCATAAGTGTTTTCTCATGTTTTTAAAATATTCTTTAAAATTATAACTTCACAGCTGTCCAATTTTCCACTTAAGGAAGCACTTCCTCACTCTTGGACATTTAAGTGATTTCGTTTTCCCCTATTATAAAAAATACTATGATAAATGATAAACATTTACAAATATTTATTTACTTCCCAAATTAACAGCTTTAGAACAGATTCCTAGAATAAAATTAGTGAATAAAAAAAATTAAAGCTTTCAAATATTACCAAACTGCTTTCTACAAAGGTTATATACCAAGTTAGATTTCTGCCACAAGCATATGAAAATGTTTCTTATGCTTACCATCATTTAGAATTTCTCTTTTAATTTTGCTAAATTGGTGGCATCCATTGCCTAAATGATATTCATTTTCTTTTCACTGCTGGTAATAGTAAACAACTATGAAATTGGTTGCTTATGTTTCTTCTATGATTTTCTTACTCATATCTTCTAACCTTTATTCTTTAGGTTCCTTATTGATTTATGAATTATTTTCTATTAAAGACATCAACTTTTTGACATGTTTTCATATTTTGTTTTAAATGTTTATACAAATCATTTTTTTCATTATCTATCATTTTTTATTTATCATTGTTATCTAAGTTCTTCCTTACCCATTATCAATTATGTTTAATTTTATCTCTCTTTTAATTTATAAAATCATTATCAATTACGCATTTACTAATTTTATCTCTGTTAATTTATAAAAATCTATCTCTGACTCCACTGGAATTCCTGTTGGTGTACAGACTAAAAGTACCCTGATTTCTTTTCAAATAGTAGTCCAGAATCCCTGTTAGGAAAACCAGTTCTCAACATCTGCCAACACAGATCACTCCTGCTAAGGAAAGAGCTCCAGCTACCAATAACTGCACCTTGACCTCAGATGAACAACCAAAGTCGTAAGACTCTACCCCTTGAGCACCAAATGAGCTCTAGGAATATGGAGGAGGATGAAAAAGAGCTAAAGCTGTCAGGGACAGTTACATAAAGGAAATGGAACTTCAAGCACAAGGAAATCAGAAAGAAAAACAATGCAAGGGAAAGAAAGTACAAGGCTTATTCTGGAATCGGTCCCTTCACTGAGGAAACACTTATCAAGTACCTGCCAGGAACCAGGCACTGTTATCAGGCTAAGAAGTCATAAAAATAAATGAGCAAACAGTCTAGATCAAAAGACCAATGAGTATGGTGGAGATATGAATTGATAAGACTGGAAAAAGTAAACTGAGACCAATGGTAGAGAGACTTGAATAAAAGACCAATAAGCCTCACTTCCTGGAGAATTGAGCAGGCAGATAATGACATGAGTAAAACAAGACTTCGGCCAGAGATTAGCTGACAGCACTGAGAGGAAGACTGAGAACAGGGACAGGACCCAGAAGGTTATTACAAGAATAGTGGCTTGAAAGGACATGGTAGCTTGGGGAACAGGGTGGGTAATAGGTAAAGAATGTACAGGAGATTAACATGAAACACCTCAAAGGAAGGTATACAAAGGACAGGAAGAGAGTAAATTAAAAAATAACACTGAAATATCTATTCTCTCCTGGAAGGGAGAAGATGAGGACATAGATGACTAAGACAGAGCAAGGGAGAAAAAGCAGGGTGTGCAGCAGCTGGGAGAAAAGGTGGGTGAGACTTCTTACCTTTTTGCATCCTTAGCACTTTGAACCATGTAAATACATCAAACATTCAAGAAAACTAAAATTTCACTGGGAAAAAAAATAGAAAGATGACCAAGTTTTGTGGTCTAATGACTAAAAATAACAGTCACTGATAGTCTTTGAGTTCCAGAGAGAGAACCAGTTAAGCCTATTGAGACTGAGTTCATAATGGGATGGTCAAGGAGAACTGTCTATGTATAAGAACTGGAGGAGATATTAAAGGAGGGGGAAAAAATAAAAGATGATGAAATCGAAAGCACAGGTGTAAAACTTAACCTTGGAAAGGAAAGATACTACTTTTTTCTAAATCTAGAAGAGAAGATGAAAAAGGCTAAATATAGAAATGGAGAAGAGAAGCAGATGGATGTATCAAATGGCCTTGACTCAGGAAAAATAGGAGTCAAAGTCATCTTTGCTTTAGCAGGATGGAGGATAGAGGGAGAACAAGTACCAGATGCTTGGCATGGTGACAAGAATCCAAAAAGTCAGTTTGTAAATGTTCTGTGTATGCTTGAAAAGCATGTATATTTTCTTAGTGTTTTCAAGAAAAGGGGTGTCAATCCATCAGTGGGTCATAAGATCAATTTTGTATAATGAGATCAGCATTAACAGCAATGAAACAGAATAGAAAAGAGGAAAATTACACCACGTAAGGGGGAACATTTCATGAAACTTTTATTTCTGGTACATATGTATATATGTGTCTGTTCAACAAGTCATGATGTTAAAACATATGAACACACTATTTAACTTTGGCGTGAGGGCTTGTTATATCAACTTTGTTAATTATTTTGTTCAACTGCTCTATGTACTTGCTAACTTTTTTTGATGGCTTAACAGTTGAGAGGGCTTTTTTAAAAAAAAAATCTCATACTTTGTTCATTTTTCCTTCTTAATTTTTGCTTCATATTTTTTGAGATGGTGTTGTCAGGCACATACAGATTTAGGATTATTATATCTTCCTGGTGAATTGCTCTGTTTATCAGGATGTAACAACTACCTTTATTTCAAATAATGCTCTCTGCCCTAAAGTCTTGTTTAACACTGTCTAATATTATGAGAGAAATACATTAGGCATTAAAAAATACATACAAATACATACAACATACAACGTTGTTTATATGATATTACTTCTCCTACTCCCCACAGCCTTAGAAACAAAGTCCAAATTCTTTGGAAAGGTTTGTAAGGCCCTGCCTGGGCTGCTCCTGTCCACCCACCCACTGTCTCCCCACCCCCAGCATCCTGGTCTTCCTTCAGTCATCTGGAAGTGTGCGCAGGCTGGGCCTGGAATGCTGCTCCCCACCCACTTTGGCCTGCTGTTCATTCCAGACTCAGAACAAGGGTCACTGGTGTTCTCTGACACATTCCCCACTCCACCCACCCAGCAAAACTGATCAGGCTCTCTTTTGTGGATCCCCTGAACTCTGCTCAAATTCCCATCATGCCATCTCATTTTGGTTTAATGCATCTAATTATTGACTTGCCTGTCTTCCGGACTGAACAGGAAACTCATCAAGAACAGGAAACTCATTCAAACTTAGTCTCATTTAGCTTTACGTTCCCAGTGCATAAGACACAGCAGGCTCAAAAATGCTGAACAGACAAATG